CTCCTCTTACTTTTCTATCAAACCAAATCTTTTGTCGTTCAGCTGCTAATTTAGTATCCCTATTCACTTCTTCAAAAACAACTTTTAAACGATCTCTCAAATTTTGTGCATAAGAGTCAACGGTTTCGGGATTTGTGGATGTATTTGTTCCAAATAAAACATCAATAGAAGTTCTCGGAATCCTTCCATAAACAAGCATTGCAGGGACATGTTTTGTGGTTGCATGTTTTGTTGAATTGTAAGCTAAACAAATGAGAGGAATATATTTGTCCCATTCAACTATTTTACCTTTAGCACATTGTTTAACCATTGCAGACAACGATTCTGCGATTACTTTATTGGAACGCTCGACCTGTCCATTAAAACTTGGAGTATAAGGAGGATTTTTGGTTTTGCGAAAGTGTAACATCTCACACAAATCAGTAATAAGCTTCGACATAAAACATGCACCTTGGTCTGTATGTATCACTTCAGGGATTCCAAAGTGTGGTATACAACGATCGATAAGATTTTCAGCTACTGTTTCTGCTTCTTGATTAGGTACAGCATATGCTTCTAAATATTTGGTAAATTTACACTGGAGAACTAAAATGTATCGTTTGTTTCTAGTCGATCTTGGTAATGGACCTTGGAAATCCATAGATACAATCTGAAAAGGTCGGTGAGCTATAACAGGATGAAGAGGTGCGTTTAATCCTAGTGTTGGTGATTTTCGTTGGGAACATATCGAACAAGATTTACAATAATCTTTTACATCTTTGCGCCATCCGGGCCAGTAGAACCTGTGTCTTATTTGGTCGATTGTGCGTTCTTCACCCAAATGACCCGATGTCGGATTGTCATGTGCGGCTTGAAGAACATCAGCTACTAGAGATCGTGGAATGATGATGAGTAGTCCTTCATTACGTCCATCAGGAGTTTCGTCTTTCTTGTAAAAGATACCTCTCTTAACACGTAAACAGTCTAAGATACGAATATATGGTTGTAAAGATGGTGGTGGTTTCAAAGGTTTTGCGGTAGTTTTAAGAATGATTTGAATAACATCTTGAATTAAAGAATCTTCCTGTTGAGCTACCTCAACAACTTGACTTGACAGTATGGAAACAAAATAGTCTTTGGGTTTTTCGATGGCTTTAACAGAAAGAGAAGAACTTTTAGTTGCTGGTTGTTGTCTGACTGGAATGCGCGACAAGGCATCGGCATTTCCGTTATGTTTTCCCGGTCTATACTGAATCTCATAGTCAAATTCTTCAAGATCTAAACTCCATCTTGTTAATCTTGAATTTTCACTTTTAGAGGATTTGAGATAAACCAATGGTTGAATGGTTGAATAATTGCATTCTGCTGAAGATAGCGATCTGGACGCGTAGGCTATGGCATGTTCTTTTCCTGAATGATATTGGGAAAGTATATACTGCTCCGATCGCAAATTGAGAAGCATCCGTTTGTAAATAAAAATCATTGGAGAAATCCGGAAATTTGAGTATAGGTTCAGTTATCCAGCACTGTTTGAGAGTTTGGAAAGAGTCTTCACAACTATCACTCCAATAAAAATCAACGTTTTTCTGTGTAAGCAAAGTAAGCGGTTTACTTATTCCGGCAAAGTTTTTAATAAATCGGCGGTAATATCCAGCTAATCCGAGAAATGATTTAATTCCAGTCACATTAGTAGGGCGTGGAAAATTAACAACTGACGAGACTTTATCCGGATGTGGTTTAATTCCAAATTGAGAAATCTGGTGTCCCAAATATTTAATTTCTAATTGTGCAAATGAGCACTTGCTGGGTTTTAGTGTTAAATTAGTATCACGAAGTCGATCAAACACAATTTTCAAATCACGAAGGTGGTCCTTGAAATTTTTGGAGTAGATAACAATGTCATCTAAATATAGTACACAAAGTTGCCATTGGAGGCCCTTTAAAACCAATTCCATTAATCGCATGAAGGTTGCCGGTGCGTTTACTAGTCCAAACGGCATGCGACGAAATTGATAAAGACCACCATCTGGTGCGGCGAATGCACATTTCTGCATCGAGATTTTATCCAATGGGTCTTGCCAATATCCACTTGCAAGATCAATAGTACTAAATATTGAAGCACCTGAGAGACTATCCAAAGTTTGATCCACTCGAGGTAGCGGGTAAGCGTCTCTACGAGTTACTTTATTAAGTTTGCGAAAGTCTATACAAATACGAAATGTTGAATCTGGTTTTCTGGCAAGGACAATTGGGAATCGCCAAGGACTGTCTGACTCTTCTATGATGCCTTGTTGTTTCATATCCTGAATTTGCCGCGACACGTCATCTCGTAAATGGAATGGAATTCTTCTTACAGGAACTGAAATGGGACGACTGTCACCCGTGTCAATCGTATGAAATGTTTTCTCAGAATATCCCAATCGTTTACCAGGTTCCATAAATATATCCTGATATTCTGTAAGTAATTCCTTAAGTTGATTACACTGTTTTTCTGTAAGGGTGTTTGTATTATTTACCATTGAAGATGCTTCAAAATTTTTCTCTGTATTTGAAATAGGTTGTTTGGTTGAATGCATGGTCTGATGAGAAACTAATCCTTCAGATACCTTTTCGATTTTATCAATGGTACAAGCCCATGCTATTGGTTCATCTTTATTTAGTGATATTTGGTCATCTCCCATGTTCATCATCATAAGTGTGGCTGTTTTGTTTTTGACATTGGTTAGAGTTCTAGCAATCATAATGTTTGTTTTCTCCGTGACATTACAGTTAGGTTCAAGAATAACATCGTATATTATCTGCTTATTCGTATTTACAGTCACTGGTAAAATTAATTGTTCACCGGGGTATGTTGACATTGTTACTGAGAGCTACTCTTGAAACAGTCGGAGCGCGAGGCTCAGTTGTTACTGGTACAGAAATATCACCTTGATTTGGGCAATGTATGATAACTTGACGTTTGGCATAATCAATTGAAATGTTGTTTTTCACAAGAAAGTCTCTACCCAATAAACATCGTTCAGTTAAACTGTCTACAACATAAAAAGGGTGAACATCTTGTAGTCCATGGAAATCATACGCTATTGTAGCCATACCTTATAATTTAAATATCGTAGCATTTGCTGAATGAATGTTAGCATTGTCTGGTTTGAAATCTAGTTTGCAAGAAGAAGGTAATCTGTCATAAAACCATTTATTCATAAGAGATACATCTGCTCCAACATCTAGAAATGATTGTATCCGTTGACTTCCAAGTTTAATTGCTACACGTATTGGATCCGATCGGAAAGGAATGACTGGTGGATGTAGGAGAATATTGTTACGGCCACTGTTCACAGGAAATGACTGGTTTGACGGAGTAGGACATTGGTTCGCAAAATGACCAAATCCTTGACAATTAAAACAAACGTCGTCTCTAAAACAAACTCTCCGGTATGATGGGGGGTCTCGACGATTAAATCTCGGTGAATAGCGTTGACGTCTTGGTGATTGTTGTCTGTTTCTGGAGAAATTTTCGCGGAATTGGCGTTGTTCTGATTGATATCTATTCTGAAAGTTATCCTGAGGGCTACTCCTGAAGTCAGTACGGCGTCTATCTTGTCTGTCATCTCTTCTCGATGTTCGGTCTTCAGTTCAGTGATTATAGTTGTCATCACCTCGTATACGTCTTCGTTGGTAACGGTCATCACGTCTATCTCGCCTGTATGTATTACGAGACTGTTGTTCATCAGAGTCATAGCTGGTGTTTTGCCTGGACTTAGCACGGTTTCTATACCATTGTTCGTCTGGCGATTTTCTTCTAAAATCAGGCTCAGGAGGCCTATATTGACGGGTATCTTCAGCTCTCGCTATAATCGAAGCTGCGACAGCATGAGAAACTGATTCCATTTCATCTAATTTACTTTTAGTTTTAGCAATATGTATTATCTTTTCTAAAGATTTCAAAATAGTGTCATTATGTTGAGAATGTTCATAGATATATCGTTTTACTTTTTCCGGAATAGTATTCATAAATCGATCTATCACAACTGTTTCTATCACTTGCGGTTCGAACTCATAATGTTCTCGGGCTAAAATTCTTAATCTAGCCGCATATCCTTCATACGTTTCATCAGACTCCATATGTGCTTCATTAAACAGAATACCTTTTGTATGTTTATGTAACGGTCCAATAAATGTTTGTTTTAACATCTGAATAATTGCGTCATAGTCCGATTTAAGTGCATCGGGCATAATTTCCCAGTTAGTTTTAGCATAGCCTTCCAACAATAATGATAACACTTTACCCTTCTGTCCGTCATACAATGGATTATCTAAAGCTCTTTGGACTTTAGTAAGCCATTCTTTTAAAAATATTTCAATTTGCGGTTCGTTTCCGTGAAAAGTTCCCGTGAACTCTGTAACCTTTCCGTATATATAAAGATGATCCCTATATATCTGTCGGTCATTACGTCTAGATAACTGATCTGATAGATCTTGAACTTCATTTCGTAAACGATGCTGTTCATTTTCGTATTGTTCAACAGTGCCTTTATGTTGGCTTTCAAAACGTTTTAAAGCTTCGTCTATTGTTTGTTGTCTGTCGTCATCTATCTTAAATGTCAATTCCGCTAATTCTCTGCGTAATTTTTCGACTTCCTTTTTCGCCATAGTTAATATTGAATATTAAATATACTAAGGAATAATATATGAAAATCTATAACATACAATACTATAGGGTAATACAATAATACACACTGTTCCACAATACAATAATATCCTACACGAATAACAATATCATCAACTTAATATCAACAGTAAATAATGATAATATACATTGAATGCATACGTCATAAATGTTCAGATATCAAACTCAGCAAAAACAAAAATTGAGGGATTAAAAACACCTGACCTTGTAGTTTACTGTGCATACAATGAGTCTTATTTCGTAATTGGATTTTTAAACTTTAGTCTTTTAGATAACGATGCTTTTACTATCGACTGACAGAAAACAAATACAATTTTATGTTTGCAATTTCAAAGTACAATAAAAATTACACTTATAAATATAATCTATATAGGCACACACATGCATACTCCATTCAAGGTAAGATAGCACAAAATAAAACATTTAACATGAGTTACAAAACTATTTTGGTAGCTATATAATTCAGGCACTGTCACTGAGTGAAAACACACTAAAGTTTATGAAAGAATCTTCGAAACAAGTATAGTCATCCACTAATAGCACTTTACTTCACCGGCGTAATGTCATATCTGTAAGCCACTGAGTGGGTCTCACAAAAACAAATTATCTACAAGTTCATTGAAAACTGTTCTCTATCTCGTCTGCAGGGTTCTTCTGCTTCCAGGAATCCACCACTACTAATACTAGAAAGTAGTACTAAAAATCGGCCTACCAATCTAAGCTCAGAAGATCCAAAACCATAATATTTATTCACTGTCGGTATAATGTTTTAAAAATGTAATTTGTGGCATCTTACGGTTGCGTCTCAAGGAAATCACGGTTCCATCGTTTTGAAAGGTCTGTTGTGGTCCTATAAAGTCAACTATCGGTGACGCCAATTATGTGGAGACCTCTCGTCAATGGAAAATAAGAAGACTTCCTTCATTAGTTAACATGTTTATTCCGCCATCACTAACCGAACTATCTTACCCCATCACTCACTCTCCTATTCATACACACACTTCTCTAATACCTAATAGACATACCAAATAAGGTTTGTCACAGTAGGAAAGAAATATGAACCAAATTCCTTCGTCGCATAAGTATTGCCCTAAAAATTAATATTTATTATCGATCTGGTCTTTTTAATTTCATAGTGGAACGGGCTACAATAACGGAATTAATTTCGGAATTCGACTACTTTGGTTGAAACATATTCGGTCAAATGCCAATTTATGGCTCACTGGTACTTTCTTCGGCAGAAATGTCGCAATCGGTAAGACTTGTTGAAATCTGTGGGCATCAAATCATAACGAGCGAAACATTAATATCATTTTGAGGGAATTTAAGACCAATACAACTTAATAAGGCCACTTAAAGTTGTCAATAAAATAGATGTTAGACCCAACTAAGACAATATTGGGGTATGTAATGATTGCGACAATTTTTAAAATCACGAAAATATTTCGCTTGTGTGCCCGCTCGTGTTGCTGACGATTTTTTAGGCCCTTATACGTAACTTTTCTCTGTATTATTCTTTACAAATTGAGAATTTTGAGATGAGCACCAGTTTTGAAAGTTAACAGGCTAAGAGTATCAAAAGTTTCAAAAGCCAAGGGTTAAAAGCACCAGGGTTGAAAGCTAACAGACTAGGAGTATCAAAAGGTTCAAAAGACAAGGGTTAAGCTGTTCACAGTTCTAGTATTATTATTGTTTTACATTTTACCTGTAGAATATTTGGTGAAATATTACTGGCAAACTTTCGTTAAACAGTTCTGTTAAATAATAAAAAAAAATTATCTATCATTGATCTGTTGGTATAAAATATTAATTTACAGTCTTCAAAGAAACATCTGTTCAGTTGGCGATTTTGCATTTACTATAAATACGTGACCAAATCTAGCATTGGACAGTGTATCAACAAGTCTCTATAAATATAATGTTAAAACCATGAATAACCTATTATGTTCCGTTCTGTTGATTTCAGTTATACTTATTCTTACAGACGCCGGTAAATATTTTATTTATTATCTAAAAGTTGCTCTATGAATCTAAAGTCAAAGTTTGTATATCTGGGCGAAATTTATGTTAGCTTATTTTTTGTGGGAAGAGTCCGAGTCAGAAGAAATTTACTCAAGACAACTTTCTTTTCAGCAGCATGGATAACTAGCTTAAACACATTTTAAATCGTCTTTGTCTGTAAATAGTAAATTAACATGTAGTTCTTGATACAAATACTTGATGATATAATTGTCGGGGGGTAATGTATCGAGTCAAAAGTAAATAATGGCAACAAATATTATCAAAATTAAATTTACAGGTTGTTCGACGTATCCTAATATAACAGACGCAAATTTTGATAAAGATTGCAATGGAAATGTAGTCATTACATGTAATGAAGGTTTCAAGATGGTACAAGGGCTGGAATGTGTTGAGGAAGAATGGAGATATCAAAACCCAATATGTAAACGCACAGGTAAGATAATTTTAAATACTTGAATTACAAATAAACAATATTAGCTTTGACACATCAAATCGCTCAGTGAAGAGTTTATATCACCTTCCTCGATACATGTTATAATACATTATATAGTGGAATTCAAATCAATAAACTTCATGAAACAGTCTGGAGAGCTTAACATCTTAAGATTAAAGAATATTATTGTAGTGCGATCATTTCTTCAATCAAAATAAATAATTAACAGATTACCCAATTTGATTGATTTTTGTGGCTTGTGTCTTATGACCTTGACTTTTGTTAATTTATCTTCATTTTTGTTTAACGATAATAAGTCACTAAGCTATTGCCATTTAAAAATTGTCATGTAACCTAATGTACATAGAGACAAATATTCTATTTACCCAATTTGATTGATTTTGGTGTCAATGGAAAGTACAATCGATTGTACTATGGCAAAATTTGTTTCTGAGCGCAAAAGAAGTACAGTTTTCATCTTTCATCTGATT